TTCACCTATGATGGGATACACCTTCATGTTGCCTGGCCAGGGTTCCCAGGTGCCTGAGAGAGAAGGAAATGGGAAAAAGGTGGGGGTCCAGGCATCTTCCTAGTCTCTTAAGGGATGGACATTTCAAGTCAACGACGACATTTTTCTACTTATGTAATCTCTTAGTTAATCCTCCCACCAGTATGGAAAGTAGGCAAGGTCCACAGGATGCTTCTTCCTCCTGAGAGAGAATCCTGCAGAAGATGAATTGCCCGATGCCTTTATCATTCCTCTCTCCTGGCTGCTTCACTGTCTGTCTTTTTAGGGATCCCTGGCTTCCTTGGAGGCCAGTGTTAGAAAGGAGTCTCTAGGACCATGGTATGAAGGGATCCATCCCAGACGCCCACCAGAAATGTCTACTGATTCCACTGTTGATTCTGATCTTGGTATTAATCATTTTCTTCTCCTTAAAGCCCCTCTTTCCATATATATTTTGGGAACTCAAAACTTACTCTGACTCTAACCCTTTTTTCTGGCCCTGTACCAGATTCCCTCATGGAAAAAAGGACAGATGTCCTCAGTAGCTGTTGGACCTTGAGGACTCTGGGTCAGGTGACAGAGCCCTAGGCTTGTCTTTTTATTTGAGCATCAGATCTAAAAAGAATTAAGCAGCCTCTGCAGAGTAGTGGTCACTCCCTTAAGGTCACTTAACCTTGCCTTAAGATCCTGTTTATGGGCACCACCCCTTCCCTAAGGTTATAAGTGGCTAGTAAAGGAGTCCTTAGGAATGTTGCTTAGCTTCTTCATGGTGGTCATGAATTTTACAGAGGCCTGTTCCCATGGACCTGTGGTCCCAGCATCTGCTGTTAGGAAATTGGGTGTAGTCCTCTTCCTGTGGGTTTCATCTGGATAAGACCACCTGTCCTTCCGGACACTTCATGTGCCACCAAAGAAGAATCAAGTCCCTGGCCTCTGAGGTCCTGGAGCTGAGGAGGCTCCATTCTCTGGCTGGGATGTGTCAGCGATGGCAGGAGGAGAGAATGAGATGAAGTAGGAAGAAGATGTAGAGGAAAACGGGGAAAAGTTTCTCTTCCCCAAGATGGCAAAGGACTAGCATGTTGGGAGGAACAGAATAAAACTTTTAAAGCGGCCAGCTGCCCAAACGTCCATCTCTGCAGACAGAACGTTTTCCTCCAGCTTGTTTACAGAGAGAGTCCCTTGTCCTCTCCCCCAGTGACTCCGATACTCCGTTAGTACCCACGAAATAGAAATGGTTCCTGAGGGGTCAGAAGTGGGTGGCAAACAAAAGTTATTCTGTGCGCGTGTGCTCCAATCACGTGGTTCCTCACCCTACCAGCTCCGAACTGCCCTGTTCAGATGAATGACAAAGGGACCCTGCAGTAAAAATTGGCCACACCGGCTCCGAAAATGAGAACTTAGTAACATACTACGAGGGAGGAGAAGACTGGGATCTGGGATGCTTGGCTTCCCTCAATATGCGGAATGTGCCTCTGCTCCCAGTCTATCTTGAGACCTTTGAGGCAATAAATGAACCCACCGCGTTTGCGATTGGTTCTGAAGGTGGCCAAGCTCCAAGCAAGGGAAAGAGTACCTGCGAGGCGGAAGAATCACCACTAGGAGACGCTTCGGAGCCGAGTAGCGAGGTGCAGTCTGCAAGGTCCTGCAGGTCTATGGTGGTGAGGGCTGCGCGGGGAGATCGAGAGAGACACGCGCCCAGAGAACCCTAAGCCTCTCTGCCAGGTCGCCGCCAGGACCCTCAACCAGGACCTGGGAGCCCGGGGCAGAGGGGCTGCGGACCGCGTGCGCCGCACCTACCCCTGGCATGGATCATCTAGGGGTCGCGCAGGTGCCTCGGGGCTCACCTGGCAGTGCAGCCGGCTCTGCGTCAGGGGGATCCTCGAACACCGACACTGGGCTGTGGCCGCTGCATCCCGAGAAGGACTTCCACGGAGGAACGAACTAGGCAGGCACAGAAACAGAGAACTCAGGTCCCCATTCGGGGCGCGGGGCTAGCAGGCTTTGCCAGAGCCAAGACGGTAGCGAGCATCCCCACCTTCCTCTCCGGCTTCCCGGGCTTGCCGAGGGGCCGCCGCGACAGGTCCAGCATCCTGTTGGGGCAGATGCTGTCGAAGGCCCGGCGTCCGGCTGCGCTGCCCTCGCACGCCTGCATCCTGGGATGGCGACCCACACCCAGGGCTGCAGCACCTGTTGGTGCCTGGAAGGAGCGGAGGGAGGGCCTCGAGGAGAAGGCCTGTGCGGGAGGGGCGGCTCGCGCCTGAGCGCCAGAGGTGGCGCCTTCAGCCCGGGACAATCTGCGCGCGGGCGGAGGCGTTAACCAACCTGGCAACCCCGGCTTCCCCCGGGAGCTGCGAGCGCGGGGCCCGGCCCGCGAGCGCCCTTTGGCGCCTC